CCATGTTTTTTCCGTATTTCCCTTCTTAAACATATGTTTGTGCTTCAGTTGAACTGTTTAGGATCTATGTCACATTATAGTATAAGGCAGAGGTCTTCAACAGGGGGTACTGCATGGGGTCATGAAAGTGTTGGTTGATTAGACTTTTTTTATATTCCTCCCTGCAATTTTTCCACTAATTGAAATGTTCTTTAAATCCACATGAACATGAATTCAACACACTGTAGTAAACAGATAAATGGAGGCAGAAGATGTCTTTCAGTCATCAATGCACACATTCAGCGACACATAGGAGCTCTTTGAAGCTGGGCACCGTTTCATTCACAACACCTGTCCCATCAACCAGGAATCAGTAGGAATCAATCAATCAGTAGGAATCAATATTTTAATAATCCCAGGGAGAAATTACTTTCCTCACATTACTCCATATGTAACAGAATATAGGACCAGTTTGATATAACACAATTTCATACTATATATAATTAGGGTGTTCCATCTCTCCATCAGTTTGGGGGTCCTTGGCCTGGAAAAGGTTGAAGACCCCTGATATAAGTGGTAATTGTTTTTAAGCAATTTGTACAAGAATAAATTACAATAACACAAGACCCACTGTAAAAGTAACATTAAACTCACTATTGCACTTTCATTAATGGGTTGGATTTAAATCTAAACTCAAGAGAATAGATATGCACACACTAAACTCCTCCATAAATGAGCTCTTTATTCATCAGTTCTTCAAAGCACAACAAGTCGAGGAGAAATACCGCACATATATTCACCCAAACTCATCCATTACCACTAATTTACTGCATTGCGCAAAAGAAAACACAAGTTCTTGGACTTTTAGTGATTTACCCTCTAAAAACAATTTATAAAAGCCCTGGCTTTCAGCTATATTGCACCCCAGAAACGATGTTGAAACAGTTACCTCTGACACTGGCAGTGGGTTGTGTTACCCAGCTGTGTCACCCTTGGGTGTTGCAAAAGAGCAGGCACCGCTAGCCAGGAATAATATTACTGCACCAAACCAAAATGAGCTCTGCCGATGGGCAATCACTGTTAATGTCTGTTAAATATGCAAGAGTTGGGCAGCAAAGGAAAACATGTGACAAACTGTGTTGTGTGGAAACAGCATAACTGTCATAAAACATCCGTTTGAACGAGGATGACAAAGAATGTGACAAATTCGCTCTCTGGGTGTTTTTTTTGTCATGGTCACAGATATTTGTATGAGCCAGCAAATCCTTCTTTTTTTTGCAGAGCAGTAATGAACACCATATGATCAGAGTTGTTTCTCTGTGGCTTTGAAACCTTAATTAAATGCGTTAGGTCATGCTGAGCTACGTAATGTAAACACATGTATTAAAGGCAGCTTAGTAACAAAAGCTGTGACAATAAATTAATGTTATTCCCACCAATGGGAATAACAGTAATGAGTTTTTCCATGAACGTATTTGCTTAGACGTAAAAAAGTGTCCAAAGGAATACAGAGAAAAAAATTATATGTATGTACATTTCTTTATCAGCTGCCTTGACTAAACTGTCAGAAACTCAATTCATCACATCTGCAGGATCAGAAAAATTTTACTTTCCATAATTGATTCACATCTTGTCGTCATTTTTACTTTCTATGGTTTTACACCACAGCTGGAGATCATGGAGGCACCAGGAACCCTCGTGACCCCAAGTGGTATAGATGGATGGATGGATGGATGGATGGATGGATGGATGGATGGATGGATGGATGGATGGATGGATGGATGGATGGAT